GTTTGAGGACAATGAATGTAGTTATATTTATATTCTAATAAAGTTTATTTGAATGGAACTATTTAAATTAGGTGTAAAACTAGGTATGTCTTTCTATAGCTGTTCAATTAGCAGACGTACGATATTATATTGTCTTTAATAAAACTTTCAACTTAACCACTTTTCCGTCTAACTTGAATTATATATATATATATATATATATATATATATATATATATATATATATATATATATATATATATATATATATATATATATATACGATTATCCACAAATTCAAAGGGAATGTCGTTAAGAAATTCATATCTGATTTCTGTACTCCGAAGCCTTAAATTTAGTTCCTTATATTACCATGATCCTAACCTCTTTCCTAATGTTCTAAGTTGTTTTTGACTCATTTATAATTATCTTATTTGCTTTCATCATTCCTATTTCTCTATTGAATTATTCACAATTACTTAGAAAAATAATACTGTTATCTAATCTCATACATATAGTTCCCTTTATTATTTTAAATAGAGCAAGAACGAGAATTAGTGCAGAATAATATGAATTCATTTTATTTCGTTAGATTCTCATCAGCTGTTTACAACCTAAAATAAAATATCTAATTGAAGTATCATTGATTTGTAAAATATATAGATTTGGTTGAATAGGAATGCAAATGAAAAACCTATGTACAACTGAGGCTATTGCTATCTACCAGTTTACGCCTAACCTTTACGTACAAGAACAGTATGTTTAATCCCTCGTTCTTCCATGATCCTAACCTCCCTTTTTATCTTCCATAACCTGTCGTTTCTACTTATCGTTCCTAATCCATTCCAACTATTTTCACAACAATTAAATAGAAAGTATCATAGCTTTCAATTATTCTGTTCTTAATAGCTATCAAGTGGACAATTATTTCACCTTATCACTTTTTCACTAGCCGATCATCACATAATTTCCTTTCAATATCTGATTTTCAGATCTTGACAACGTACTTCCTCAAGTTAAAAAAAAAGTTAATTAGCACCTCTTTATAGAACCCTATCTTAGCAAAATTGACTATAAATACGACTGTATAGCTTAAGTAAATGAAATTTTCTTCGCTGAATTACCTCCCTTCTTCTTCTTCTGCAACGACACAATGGATCTCTTTCGTTATTTATACAGGTTTGTCTTGGGCGATGAATCAAAATGCTAACTGAATTCAGCTCATCTTCTGCTAAGTGCTTACATAGGAAACTTTCACTGTGCTCTAAATAAAACCAATATAATCGAGTTGATTAAATGTAATATGAATTGTTTTACCAGACAACGGATTATATAACATGCATTCTGCTGCTGTAATATATCACCACAGTGGAAATATGTACAAACTTGTTGACAGTGAAACAGTCCTTGACCGATAACTGAATAGTTCCCAGTATTACGTTTATCTTGTCGTTTTCTATCGATTAAGTTACAATACGGACAGTAGTCTAGGTGACTCACAATAGCGTGGACAATGTTTTTTGTCAGCCGGTTGGTAGTAGTCTACAAGAAACCCTCAACTAGATTTTAAGCCAGACAGGACTCATTAGCTAGGTGTACCTGGAGTCTTAAGGGTGATAATGCTCCATGAGATATATTGACCTGAGTTATACTAATTCATTGTCAGAAGCATTACCACTCAGCTATTCAATGAGTAATTGACTGCCTGTAGGTAGACTTTTCTGACAAAAATTAATTCGCACAAAATCTAGATCTACAGTTTCCTGCCGACTAATCACTACTTAACGGCAGCTAAATAATCAAAATCAAAATTTGTCAGTAACTGTTTCAGTTAATTTCCCTAACATGCAGTACAGCAATTATTCAGTTTTTGATTGAGATAATGAATCGATTGATGTTGGACCACTATTGAACACCTGGACGGCCGTTTTGCACTATTATAGGGCTCCTCAGCAGTGCACATCGATGATCCCGAATACAGGATTAGAGCCCAGGACAACCGGTCTCGCGTGCGAACGCTTAACCTCTAGACTACTGAGCCGGCCGACATCCAACAGCGTTAATGTCTAACCTCAACCAATCCATAAAATTGAGCGATCATCTTTCATTGTATGAGGTAGATACATGTCTCTTCTTGACATGAATTAGATCCACTGGTCAGTTAATAGTAAGTTATTAAATTCCCAATTATGGGTGTATTAGTTCGACAGATATCAAATGTCCAACTTTAAAGTACATTAAAGCTACAATTTACTCGAATAATAAAAAAATTACGATGATGATTAAACAGAACGAAAGCATGAAGTCAATCGGATATTTAGAAAATCTCCCAACAGTAAAGATATGAATTAAACTGAATGATCTAGTTTCCACAAACACAAGGGGTTCATACTTAATCGACCCATAAGCAGAGGTTGAAAACATTAACATCAGCCCAATTAGATTTTAAAAATTACTAAATAAAATAATGTGGAAGACTGAAGCACTATCTAAAGATTACTACAATAAGCACAGCTTAATCGTTCAATGTTTAGATCTCTATCCTTGATGCTCATGTCTCAAACTCAAAGTAGAACGGCGTGAACTGTTACGCAGCATACTCCTCCTTTGGTCGGCAGCTTCATCTCTCGTCTACGCCACAGTTGACACGAGTTGGTAAAAGGTAGTCGAGCTTTCTGAATTTGCGCCGAGATTTCACCAAACACAACTCATAAAGGGGTGATCAACACGCTTTGGTACTTCACTTTTACCATTATTTCAGTTGTTGATTTAGACCAGTACTGAAGCAATATTGTGCATTTATGAACCATGCAGAAGCTATACTATTTCTAAGTAGTTTGGTTTCTGAAGCGTAATTTTCAGATATGGATGGTAAAATGACGTTGTGGACTATTCATTAATATTTCAGTCACAGAAAAAAAGGTTTATTTCATAATAGTACACTAGATTTTCTGACTTAAACGTTATCTAGAGTTGAGATGAAGATAGTACCGCAAGTTCATTCCAGTATTTAAATTACCAGTGATTTTAGAAATTTAAATATGGATAGTTTAATATGAAGACGTAGACTATCATTAGCGCAATACATTTCGAGCAATCTGATGGCATATGTACTTATTAAGAACACTATCATGCTAGGAACACCTTATTATGCTCATTCTCCTTCATATTACTATTGTCTAGTTAACCTTTTATTTCCCCTATAGAAATGTTCTTAACATGTATACGCTAATGTATTATATAATTCTAATAATCTTCGCCTTCATACTGAATTATGTAAATCTCTAATCATTCAAATAATGTGGAAAATACAAAACCCTTACTAATACTCAATACATTTGAAATGTTTTGTTACCAGAACTTGCTCAACTTTATTAAACTGCCAGGTTGTTTTACGAGACAGTTGGTCAACGAAATAAATATTTGAGAACTGTTGGCAAACACCAAGGTTTTATGTATAAATGCTTTGACAACCTATGTATTAACGTCATATCTATGATGTTATACCATGCAAAATAAGCTGTATTACTGACCATTTCGTGATGTCGGTAGTAATCAAGCAAGTCATTTTAGAATATCAGTACATTACTATATTTCTTACTACTTATTTCAATACAAGTATTTCCTGTCTGTTCTGTTTAATAAAACGCATAACTGTGATTAATGCATATGGATAAGCAATGTGTTTGATTATCAGATTTATATGGGATTTTAATATTTAACTCATTTAAATAGAACAAATAAAATCGAAATACCTAGCTTTTGACTACTAGATGAATTAATTTTAAGGATTTATTTACTTTTAAATTGAGATCTAAGATTTCAATTACTTGACATTGAACTATTAACTAAAAGATTCAAATAACAATAATAATTACCCTTCAAAGCGGTATAAGTATGTTGTACATACATATGAACTTGTTGTCATCAGAAAATATCAACGATTACAAAGAAGTTATGCATTGGCTAACGTACAGTCCAGTTTATCTGCCTATAATTTTGGAATGCAGTCATTTCATAAACTGATGTTTACAGTTAAACAGAATGTTTAGATGTCAAGAGGTATTAAAAATTCATAAGATGATTAATTTTTCTAGAGGATTATGTCAGAAAATTTTATCAATCGAACATTATAACACAAATTCTATTTGTAGGTATGACCCTATCCTATGAAGACCAAATGGTTATATTGTAATTTACATTTATTACTACTGTGTGATCAGGAAGAAGTTATGAATGAAACTCAGAATTCAAATACAATAATTTGAACAGAAAATACAATAAATATAAGAAAGGAATTCACTTTCAGCTTATTGTACGTAGATACAAACTAAGTATTAAATTTCGATTTAAGTAGAGATGCATATAAACGCTGTCCGTATTATGTTTTGTTAACACGAAGAAATTATTACTTGATTTTAATAATTTCATGTACTTTGGTTGGCACAATATACTGAAAGGACACACGAACTTCGTACGATCTTTACGATTTAGCATTAACTGTGGATTGTATAGTTAATTAACCAACATATAAAGGGTGCAGTTTCTCAATCAGCATACAAACCTGTATGAGGTCGATTTGGGTTTAGACTGTAGCATTTATTCAAACAGAAAATTATTATTAGTCTAAATTACAAAATAAATTCACTATACTTTGTCAATTTTTTTAGCTTAAACGTGAAACATTTATTGAACGAGACACCCAATACGTAGAAGTGAGTTAACCGTATATATGTATACTAATCATTGAAGAGTTTCAAGACGCAAGATGATAATGTAAACAGAAAACTACACATGCAATTAGTATCTACATCACAAAATCAATGAAAAAAAACACATATTTGTACAAAAAACAATATGCAACAACAAAAAATGATGTGCGTCTATAAAATATGAACAAAGTCATTAGAGTGAAAATGATACACATACACCTATATGAATACTTCTTAAACGTGTTTAAAATTTACAATCCAAAACAGTTATATTAAGGAAAAAGTGTAAATTTTTAATAAGTACAAATATTGCTTTTAGTCACTTGATACTGTTATTCTAAAATTGAAAGTAATTGAGATGCACATGCTCGTACATTAGAACAAACTGTAGGTGTTGTTATCCAATAATTAATAATTTTACGAACTGATTCCCAGGCGGTAAATTCTTCAACATTGTTATCAATATTTACATCGTTATCAACACTTTGAGGTAAATCTTTCAAACCAATCATAGCTGATGCAAGAATACGAATACGTTGTGTTTTTAACTGCTCATCTGTTGAATTTAATCCTGAAGTTACTGATAATAAACAGGTACCGATAGATACAAATAAGTGATTTACAGCTTCAGGGTGTAATTGTGTAACACCACTACAACCATGATCCAAGGCAAGTGATAGAATATTAAGACTTATTCGAATACAAACACCAGATATAAAGCGCAGTTGAGGAAATATATTTGACTCGATAGAAAACGGTTTCGCCAAATGAACAAGTACAGACATATTATACATCAAACAGGCCAACGCAACCTAAAAATAAAAAGACGGATAAAATAGTTTGTTGTAAACAGCATCCATCGATTAATAAACACCAAAAAACAACCTAGGAATTGAATTCATGAAAATTTCGAAACAGGGAAATCATAGAACTTAATGTATACACAGAACACCAACACGACGTTCATATTTCCAAGCCACTGATAGTAACTATTATCCATGCAAAAAATACAGAACTATTCCGAGAATAATACAGGCGATACCAATGATAAAGGATGAGAGTTGTACAATATCACGAATTGATGACAATTTTAAATCTGAGCTGTTGGATCTAGATTCAATGGTCTAACAGTATCGTGCTGGCGACGAAACCTTAAAGTTTCAGATTCTGTTACAATCAAAGTTGTGAATCTGTTTTATTGAGAAGAATTAAGCTAAAACGAAACATAGGCACCAAGCTAGCTAAAGTTTTTAATGGTTCTAAAAATTTTAAAATTTGTGATGAAAACTAGTTTTAAATTGAACGGTTTCAATAAATTTCCTAATCACAAATAATACGAAAATTATAATAAAACCTGACCTGATGTGGTTTACGCGTTACAAACTGCAATTTATTATCATTAACAAGTTCAACTAATCTCCCAGTTATTCCAACAGCAGTAATTAAAGATTTTGGTACAACGTTCGGCTTATCACTACTATTTGTTAAGGATGATGATGATGATGACGACAAAGACTGACGCTGTATTGTGTCAATAAATCTTGGACCATCTGCAGCTAAAGAGTTTACTAATAGACGTAACATCAATAAACAATTTGCACTTGACAAATCAGGATTGTTAAAACTAATTAACAATAAATAATTCCAATTTGTTGTTTTAAATATAATATCACTGGATATCGGCCAAAAGACTAAACACCGTAAAATATCCAATAAGGGGAATATTGTATCTATGAAAAACAGAAATTAAGATCAATTTTAAAAACAATCTAAACATACATGATAAACCATTATAAGTTAATACTTAATAAATCATGTTGCTTTTTCACTGGAAAAAAATTATTCAAAAAATTTCAATTATGTGTGAAGATTACAAAATTACGATGAATTCAATGTATGCAATACTCATTACTATGCATTTTTGCATATTTGTAATTACGCATTATTTTCCACTCATGATAAAGACGAATTTCTTTTTACTTAACAAATAATGAGTATACTATGCATCCTTTACAATATGCAATGGATTTCAGATATGGTATTCCATGGTTGATGATAATATGTAGGTTACTAATAATTTCTCATAGATATTTTATGAATATTGCTCATATTTAGGGGGAACCAAAGAGTAAACAGTATTAATGTTGGTGTACTAGGAAGATGTGATAATGAGGCTGTTTAATACTAACCATTAAAGTGAACAGGACACGTGTCAATTATGCACAGCTACTAAGTGCTTTTTTGCTTCACGCAGAATTGTGTCAAGACTTATTAAAAGAATATTTGTAATCTGTTCAGTGATTGATCTGAAACGTTTATGGAAGTCCTGACTTTTTTGGTTGAAATTCATTGTAAAACTGTTATTTTTGGTTGAAGTAGTTTAAAATCAGTTGCTGCTATGCACATGCACGCATTTTCCTATAATCAACTAAACCTTGAAATTATCATTACTCTACACATTTCATGCCTCGATCTCACTGGTTTTCTTTAGAATTCTTTGAATTGTATTCTTTTGTTCGTTACTACTGTCGATAAAATTAGTATTTTAACTTTTTAGTTCATTTGTCTTGTTGATTTTCCCTCGTTGTGATGATGTGAATGGACAAAGATCTACTAAACTAATAATAATTAATACCCTCACCAAAAAATAATTACCCAATTTTAAAATATTCACCTTGAAACAACTTCAATATACGATAGTTACTTTATTTGTGGACTTTATTGGAGCATAATGTGACGTATGAATAAGCATATGACAACAGTATATTAAACTTGATAACATACCGGGAGTCCACTTGTTTATTGCATCTAGAATATGAGTAGTAAGATGAACAGCTTCAGTTTCAGTACAATCATCAATGTTGAATTTTCTACATGCTTCTAAAAATTCATTATTTAACGGAATCGGTGATTGGACATTGAACGACTCTAGTTTAGCTGTATGTTAAGGAAGAGAATAATAAACATCGATGTCTTTTAGTTTGCTCCATTAATATTTTACCCACACATTTGTAATTAAAAGACCAAAATAGCTGGTTTCATGTAACAATGCTAAAGCTAAATATACATCAATTTAAGATTTTAAATGATACGAAATAGGTGTAGCAGTCTTCATATGTAGGATATTATCGAAAAGTGGATTTAAGAGGAAATACCAGATGTATAATAGTATTTATTAATAAACTCAATGGCGATTATATATGATTACCAAGCACACAGAATGTTCACAGAAAAATAGTTCCTTTCGTAACGAGCCTGTAGGTAATCCTGACGACTGGCTCCACCTTTGCCCCAAATAAACTAATTAGAAGCATTCACGAAGCGATAATATTAATTGATTAATTAAGACAACTGGGATTAAGCTCAAATTAAATTTAAAGGAACTTAATGACCAGACATTATTGCATGTTGCACTTTTGAACTGAAATATGGGTGGATGATATTGACCGAATACCAGAACCAAATTAGGTGAAACAGTGTTTGAACTTACAACCTGATAGTGAAAAGTTGAGTGCTTTAACTACTAAGCTACCTTTATAATTGATCATTATGACTACTTTTAAAATTCTTTAATGGAAGTATTAGTTAAATTGGCGATCACTAACTATGTTTAATGAATAGTTGACAAACGGTCATATTACTAACCGCCATTAAAATAACTTGATTGGTTATTAACCGATCTACGATTATTTCTCTCATAAATGGTTAGCGGACAAAATCAATTATAAAGTTGTGATGGAATACCGTGAGTATAAAACGTTATTATAATAATAATAATAATAATAATAATAATAATAATAATAATAGCATTACTAACAACTTCGATTTTGATTGCGTATATTAGTGATAAAGTTAGTAACTTAGAATCTCATCAAAAAGTATAGCACGTTTACATTTCATTATTTGTGACATATTAAACTAACCAATAATAAACAAGTACGAATAGGCCAAACAATAAAATGATGTACAAGTGGAATTATATATTTTAAAGGTTAATTACATAGAAATATCAAAAATTAACCTACTCATTAAAGGACCAAGGCTGATTGATTTCATAGATATAAAGGTATCGGGTGGGAAATGAGATGTAAAAACCGACGTTCCATTTGTGGTGGACTTGGTTATCGTCGAAGAAAAGCTATTTGGGATATATCGATGTGCTCCAGTAAAAGGATCACTGTGAGAAAGATCATTGCTGACAACTGGATTAATTGGAGGTCCTGCATTTTGAATAATGAAATTAGCAACTGTATCTAGATAACCAGCAGGTAAATCATGTCTTTGAATAAAAGAATGAGCCGCAAACCAGGGATCTTCAGTACGATTGTAAGGTAGTTTAAGCCCAGGCATGCTATCATCAATATCAACCGTAAATACAAAATCGTATTCCTTAGATGAAATATAAACAATGGTATTATAAAATGGACGAAATACACATTTTGAAAATATGCATATGAACTAAGTAATGATTAATAAGTTGAGCAACAAAATAAATAGAATGAAGGTTAAGAGATATTACACAAACTTGTAAGGTTGATTGTACAGCGACATCTATCTAAACGACCTATGTTGTTTTGAATCTCCTGCTCCAATTGTGTAGTGGTTTAATGACTAGAGTATAAAGCTTTAACAAATCTTCCGTTCGAAACCCACCCCAATTACTTCCATTTGTCAAGCCCAGTAGCGTTACTAGCCCCTACACAAAATTGGTGTGGCTTAAAGCCCAGTACAGAATCTGTACTTGGTAAATCACTCGTAATCTAAAAGTGTAAACTATCGACAAAATCAAGAGATATATTTAAGTGTTGTTGAATGAACTAAGTCACTGGGCATTAAAAAACCTCCTGTAGTAAACGTAGAAACTGTAGTTTCTCAGTTTAGGGGTGATTCTTGAAGCACATAGGCTTGATATTGAAAAGGAATTAAAAGACTCATGTGGTAACCCTTCGAAAAATATTGTTAATTAATTAACTATTGAGTTGATTGTACGAAAACCAGACTACAGATAGCGGATAAGGTAATACTATGGACCCTAATGACAAGATAATCGAACTGATCAAAAGATATGGTAAAGTCATCAAAATAAGTAAGTGATACTCCATCTAGAAACATACGGTTTTTAAGAACAGTTAGAGTGGATTTCAGGATTTAGGCTTCGAATTTGTGGGAGAATTATTATCAAAACGAATCTCAAACCTTCAACCAACTAATACTACCTGTGGGATACGAACTGGGAACATAAAACACTTATAATTCATTAAATCTAGTCTACTTCAATCTTAAAAATAATCAAGCAAGATTTTTAAAAAATATATTGGGAATTTATATAACACATAGTGGTCAAATTAGCTAAATAAAAACAAAATAAATAAATGTATTCAAAATTTATTAAGCTAATCAACAGAATAGTTCTGGCAAATGAAGGGAATTAACTATTTCAAATCTTTTCAATAAAGCTACCGATATTTAATTCATCGCATTGATCAAAGCGTCCTAATAAATTGTCTTTATTCTAACAAAAGTTTGGTTTTAGGGAATAGACAAAAATAAAAACAACAAAATACTGGAATCATCAAAAGATTATTAGATATGCTTACTTTTTACAATACAAGAGCATGAACGCATATAAACATTTTTTATCAAATGAACTTTGAAACATATCACATTATTGCTATAACCATCAATTATTTTGCTTTGTTACGGGTTCAATATCAAACAAAGTAGTACTTAAATGATCTTAACACAAATTACGATTGAAGTTTGCTCTATAACGAAGTAAAAATTAGTAATTGAACAAATAATGTAACGACGTACCATCGTGTTTATTTGACAGGGATTCATGAGAAAAGAAAGACTTATTTTTACTAGTCAACAATAACAGAACTGAATCTTTATCAGTAACTGAAGTAATAAGATTCGACATGCGAATTTCACATAACAGTTAACAAAAATGACAAAATTAATGAAGCGCGAGAGACAATAATAGCTTACTTTGCCTTCATGAACTTGACGATTAGAAGGTTGACTTCCCACAACATCACCAACTTCAATCCACCGAGTATCATGTGAAGACCATTGATAACAAACAGAGCGGCCATTATCGTTAATGACCATGATCTGTCCTTCCGATTTCCCTATATAATCAAAATCCATAATAATGGAAAATAAGTATTCGCAGAACAGTGATCATACCTACTACTCTTTTTAAGGATGTGGATTTTTTTATTGTTCACATTCAAGGCTGAATTTAACCAATCCCGAGTGGCATATGAGATCCTAGAACAGATACCTTATGATTACCTAATTATATTTTAGATAGAAGTTAGTAACAGAACCTAGAACGTGTTTTCTTACTTTCGTTAGTCATATCCGTCGAAGAAGTGGATGTAAATCATGACTCCGTAACCTGACTGGCAACACTCTGGACTTTAAGGAGATAGATAATGGGTTCGAGTCTTTGTGTGAAGATAAACACTAGGGTGAACTTACAATCATCAGATAGATACCAACTCGGATGAAGCACAAATCTTGGATTCTACTGCTAAGTGAGTAATTATAGCTTGAGAAAACCGATTTTTACTATGGAATAGTCAAAGAAAAATTATAGCCTTAATAACGTAATTTAATTTCATATTTATCAAATTTGTGCTAGAAAATTATTACCTTTAACAAAAGATCCCAGAAATCAGTTGAAATTCTACAGTCCATTAAAATAAATCTAACAACAACTGGTTTCATAAATATACATAAACAACAGTACTAGTCTTATTGATCCACTGAACTTGAATGATAATTTAAGACTTGGCTATAAACTCCACTAAAATCATCCACCTGAGCTATAAATCTTCTCCATCACCATAAAATACACCTCCTTAGTATGGTGTACCTGATTAAAATAAACGTTTGTAGTGTGAGTAACGACAATAAACAATATTTCATTTCCATTTCAAGTGATATGAGGCAGTATTGCTTCGTGAATAAAACACTTGATATGCACCAACTGACAGATCTCAGTTTCAAACTCTTTCTACTTAAATCTGGATAGTTAGTTAGTATCACTCTCACTCATACAAAAAAGTGAGACTGAAAGACGAGTATCCGACGAATAAGTCACCTGCTTTATCTAAAAGATGCAGGATTGTATAAACGTTCAACTTATATTCATTTCTATCACTGTGTATAAAACACAGAGTTGGTTAACAGGACGCTATAAATTTACATGAGCATTTGGTTCGATAGTGAATAAATCAACAATTCCTTAGTTGTGTAATGACACGATAGGAACACATACAAGGGAATATTAGTAAGTACAAATGAATTACCATGAAATACCTGGTCTCGTTAAAGCCTCAACTCCCGGTAAATTGTTCAAAACTAGATCTCCAGCTCCAGAAGAACTAGGAACTGTAATCTTAAAATTGGCTAATTCTGTCTCATAAAGTTTCAAAATATCTGAAGATGCTTGTCGTGTTGAATCACATGAAAATATCCGAATCATCGAATCACTATGAAAGAAATAGAGCATATAAATTGCCTTTAGTACACTTGATCAACTCAATAAAGTTAGATAGTCTATCCAGATAAAGGAAGCCAATCAGATAGAATTTATCTGATAGGCTTTATCTTCTGTTTGTATTAAATCATTCCTAATAACAATCAAAATTGAGAACATTTACAATAATCTGAAAGATTGTTAACTACATCACCTATTATTTAACATTGATTCCAATTAGTAATTTGATGAAAATAAAATGAATCCACTGGTTAAACGCAATGACTGCATATTTTTATCGTTATTGTCTTTCAGGAAGATATCATGAACTAAAACTTAAACTAGTTGAAGAGTCGACTGATTGATTTACTCATGAACCGAGTACAAATTTCTGCAGTCAACTTTGAATTATATATTAGTTGTGTGAGAGCAACAAGCACTACTCAACTGCCCGAACAGAAGTAAGTAAAATGGAGTTTGGGCCTCAGACCGACAAACTGAAAACCAAATGGCTTAAGCATTACAACCAATGCATTCATTCTAAATTGAAAATTAGCAAAGAATTTTGACTTTGAATCAGTCAGTCGATTATGAACGATGTAGGACTTTACATAAAATATTCAGTGGTCATATTGCTACAGTTCACACACACGTCGAAACGTCATCACTATATATGCAATTCCAGCACAAAATAGATATATAATGATTTATAACTCCATAAAATCTGTAACAATTTTTAAGTATCTTTTAAGAGCAGGACCTGTGAATTTCAATCTAGCCTAGTTGAACATAAATTATTTCTATACAATTCACCCTCCAACAAATGTACTTCCAAAGGATTACAGGTAATTATCCATCCCCAATTAAAAACCATAGATAAAGTATTCGCTTTACGACTAAATGGAACCAACATCAAATTAACAGCAGCGAAGATGAGTGGAACTTGTTTTACATGTACATAATCACCGTTGACTTAGACGTTTCGTAGTTGGCTATAATTAGATGGGATTCGTGCAATATGCCTCTTTTTAAACGGTTTTCTTTGTCATCAAAGAGGAGGTGTGGGTTTAAATCAATTGTAAAACGTTTAAAGTCTACATTTTATAATTTAGATGGAGGGAACTTATCAGAGTAGACTGAAAAAAAAAACGTTAGATTAGTTCAGGAAGATTTAAGAATCCCAGTAGATTTCAAACTCGATTATACAACTTTTTACACTTAATAATTACCTGCCTCCGACAATAATATCACCATTCGGTACCATAGCTACACACCACGCAGACTGACATGGCAACAGAATAGTTTGAAAGCAACTAAAATGTTTTTCAGGAGCCCATTCACTTGCCGAAGGTAAGAGCCAGACACGAATACTTCTATCCTCACCACAGGAAACAAATTTTGGAAAATCAGGTGAACAAGCCAATCCATAAACAAAATTTGTGTGCCCATAAAACTCTCCAATACATTTACCCGTAGTAGCATCCCAAGCTCTTATACTGGCATCATTGCTTGCTGATAAAAATCGTGAATCATCAATACGTGCCAAGGCACGTACACAGTCTTTATGTTCATTTAAAGAATTTAATAAAATTATGTCAGGCGAACTTATATCTTGATTAAGACCACGTAGGCACCATATACGTATAGTTTGATCAGCTGAACCAGAGATAACAATTAAATCATCAATATGACCGGTTATATTTACGGCCGACATAACGAGTACACACCATACTGCTGCTTCATGTCCTATACATAAGAGAATTAACTGCCAATTTTATGACAAAATAATAGGGAGTTATTAATAAATTACCAGTGAGTATGTTGGTAAAAATTACAACGAACTGATCATCAAATAGCTGGAACAGCCATTTATAGTGGAAATTAGTTGTAATAATGTATTTTTTATTCTATATTCATACTGATAATGATAACTGTCGCAAACAATATCAACTAAGAGATCACTTCTATCATATCATGTAGACAGCAATCTAAAAATATTCTTCATGATTCCCCTATAAAAACATGCAGATTAGTAAAACCAGCAAGATCAAATAATAGACTTTAAGTAACATTTACCATTTGATAATAAATTATCAGTCAGCTGGCACTAAAAAGAGTAAGTTTAAACAAGCTAACTGTTCAGACTACTGCAATGAAATTGCTACACTACAAAACGTAAGTGTTGAATGTTATTTTGGAGAATATATTTCTGCTTTTGACCCTATTCAAATATCTCTATTATTTGGCAAATTTATAAGATGATTAACTAATTATACTCTTATTTCTGTGAAAGTGAAAAATATACTATTTATGAAGAGTTCAACTTTTTTACTTAATGAGACTCATGTGTTCGAAGTAGATCTTTCATCTTTTGTTTCTCCTTTCTCTACCGTATCCCCCAATCCTATTTTAGTGTAGTATAGCGTTTGTTTCTGGATAACCTGAAATAAAAAAGTTCCTAACAACTTTTTGTAATTGAAAAAGGAAATTATTTATTATAAATACTTGACATTTTAGAAACCGGAAATAATTATATAAACTTGCAGATAATTCTTAAACTTTTTTCAATAAAAAACATGGATATGATGCTGAATTGTATGAATTTAGTCAACTTTAGAAAACAGTATTCAGAAGTTACCGATGACAACCAGTTAATAACGTGATCACATTTTTTCACCCTAATATTCCAAATTTTACAAAAAAACATTTTCATTTAAAACTCACCTGTGAGAGTAGAAACACACTTTTCTTCCTTCCATATTTTGATTGATTTATCCCAAGAACCACTAATTATGGTTTTGTGATTTCCAACAGCTAAAGTACACACTGGTTGGAGAAACAAATGAGTAATGTAATATCCACTAAGAACATACCTGTATCTTTATGCCCTTCTAAAGTGAAAAGAGCTTCTGGAGACATAGAATTATACCCTCGAATTAGTTTATCATGTGATCCTGTTAGAATATGACATTCGTTATCTAAATCTTGACAACACACAGCTGATACATAATTCGTATGCCCGAGAAGAACCATATCTTCACAGCCATCGCAACCTTCTCTATCAAATAAAAAATTTATTTTCAGTTAAATTTCCAACATACTTAAAAAAACCTTGATGAATTATAACATAATTTGCGAAATTAACAACTACTACTATTAAGGTGGTCAGTAATATCCAGATAGTAAGTTGATAAATAAAAGTGGCTACCAATACTATTTGAGACTATCCAGTTGGAAAAAATCAGCTACTCAGCTACAACGTAAAACTAGGCACATATATGCATCGGTCCAAGTTGCCAGGTTGGAAAAAGAAAAACTTAAAACTGACCAACGTTCGTATGAACCCGTACCTGCAATAACCCTTAATGGTGAACCTTCAAACATTATTGATAAATTCATGTATCGGGATAATCATATGTATGATACCGAAAATGTGATAAGACGAAATTTGTAAACCAAAAACCGGAGAAATATATGCTGATCTAGATGACCTTCAGCACTGTTAAGAAGCTAGTTTAGCAGAGAAAAGATTGGTTGAACGATTAAGTTTTGTTAAGCATTTGAAGACCTTAACTTATTGAGAGGAGAATTTCTCATCACTCATTCTGTAAACTTTACTACCTGTCCTACTAGTGACAGGAATTCTGTCCAATAACGGATTTTCGTGTACCTTACAGTTGATAGACATAATAATAGTTACGATATAGCCTGTATACATGACTTATCATAACTACGGTTAGTAAATGTAATAGTATTAGTTTAAATAGAAAGATGACTAACCTGGAAATATGCCATGTCCTTGCTGTTAAATCCCTTGAAGCAGAAACAATCCTGGTATCTGAAAGACAAGTGACTGCACGGACGTCGCTCTTATGACCCGATAGAGTGCATCTCAGCTTGTAAACTTCAACCATATTTTAAGAAGTATGCAGTTACAATATTATTTTTACAGCCTCATAGGACTTCTTAATTCGAACAATCTGTCAAAATATAAGTACATTCGCGAGACTGGAGCATTAATAGGTGAAATGGAGAATAAGTATTTTAAGACTAATAAAGTCCACAAATGCAATACAACCAGAAAAGCTAAACTAAGTACTTCCTTATGTTACTCCTAACCTGGGCAAGTGATATTACGCAACAGTTGAACTGAATGAAATATAATCCAACAAGAGTCAATTCGGCTCATTATACGATACTACAAAATTTGGCTCAAAAAAAGACAGTTCTCGCCAACTCAAATAACTTGTGATGCCACTGCTGCTCGATAATTTAATAATGATGTTTTTAAAGTGATAACTTTTCTTTCTTATCGCTAGTATCAAAGTACTCAGCAAAGTTCATTGCTAGGCTGGTTATGCATTGTGAGAGTTGAAAATAGTACTAGTCTACCGATACTACTAGGATATCAAAACTAGCGTTTGGTTAAACTACCAGATAACAAATATTTATTACATTATATAATAAGTAAATGGTTAATTATCACGTTATAGTGAATCAATATAGTTAATGCTCACTAATAGATTTAATAGTTCCATACTTCAACCTGTTGAGACAAAATAATCTCAGACAATTTCAATCACAGAAGATAACCTATTACATCGCGCAATCAGTGATTATTTGTTTGAAGACTGAATACAAGTATGTGGATTTTAAGATCAACATGATTGGTAGGGAACGTGTAGTAGTACTTAGTTTACCAGCCAGAATGAAATACACAGTCGTACACTTAATTTTGAGTATATTTTAAGCCTTTTGTTGCACTTCCTTTAATCATGTATTTTTATGTCACAAATTGATCTTAGTGAGACCATTATTGGAAACTAGTAGGCACTGGACAGTTGTTTTGTCGTAATATGAAGTCCGCGACATTGGCGGGTCTACGAGCACACCACAATGGATCAAATCCAGGACCTTTGATCCCGCGAGCGAACACTCTATTACCACGAGAACTGGTTTTGTGAACAATCACGTTTGAAAATGAACTCCGTGTCAGCTAACAATAAAGTTGATATCCCAAAAACTTCAGAAAGTGTAAGTTGACCCGGAAACAGTCATTATTGGTGTAGTCTGTTTATGAAAGAAAATGTGTGAGAAGTAATTTACCGAGAAGAATGATATCTAGGATAATGCATTTCAGTGTACATTGTGAAGTTCGATTCACCAACTTTAGTTTGTGGGGATTTTGTCTTCTGTCGATACAAAACGTGATAAACCCACTTTAATCACTATTTTAACTAAACCATGTATAGGTGCGAGAGTAAATCAAAACGTGAGTATTTAGGAGATTTGGTAACCATAGTTCTGTATAACTCCAAGTGATCGCATACATAAGAAACATCCCTAGAAGTTCCCTTGAACTGCTAAATGAAACACTTTACGGACCATGTACATAGAAACACACAACAGACCTTACATGAATACAAACCTATCTAAAAATCAAATGTTTTATACGTAAATCCCAAGGCACCAACAGTTTTTTGAGAGCACTGTCCCAACATCCAACCCTATTCCAGTAATATACTGAGGATCATCATAGAATTACACATTTATCGAAAAGTCAATGTGTAACACAGACGGACAAAACCAAGTCCGAACGTGAGAGTCACATCGACTAACATTTTAGTAAATCTAAGCGTTTCATACTTAGATTTTTGTGCAAAACCAAGTTTTTTAGCGTGTTTAAAGATATAAACAACTTCATTACCAAAAACAAGGTGAATGGATGAGTCTTGAATCACAAATTAGTTACTTTATGCGTGTCTGATATAATTTTACACAAAGGATCACTTTTATGGTCAATCAAATAAGTGCTACTCTCGGATTTTTAAAAGTTTACCAACGATAAATACCCACTACAGTTACGAAAAACCTTTTTAACGGAGTCGAAATCACCATATAAGATTTTCCTAATGGATTCTGTTTTCTTCCTATTGCAGGGCGACCAAGGATAAACGCTTTGGAAGAGCAAGCCTTGTGTGTACTGAACCTACAAGATGACTCATAAGACTATTTTGTAAGCTAGCCATTTCCTCACCTAGATGTCATGGGACGTCCGAACATTTTGATAACCTTGTATCCTACCTGAGTGATGAAGTAGTAAGACGAGCTACCGCCAACGGTCTTGTGGCAAGCAACGCACTTACCCAAAATCGTGAAATCCTAGATGACTGTTATTCCCTACCCGTGGACACCTAGCAAGTGACTATCCAGTTTTTATCGCGTCACCAGAAAGCAAGTGAGAATCCGATCGATTAACTTAACTCCTTGCAGCAAATTCGCGGACCATGTACAGAAAGAATAGCTAGCTTACAAAACAGTCTTATGAGTCGTCTTGTAGGTTCAATGCAATCAAGGCTTGCTTTTCTTCTTCCAAAGCGTTTGTCCTTGGTCGCCCTGCAATAGGAAGAAAACGGAATCCATCAACATCTTATATGGTGATTCCCCGTTACACCTATGTAACACGCGTAATCAGCAGTCACTGAAAGGCAGGAAGACCTAAAACCACAACACACAATGTTAACCGAGCACTTCACACGAAAGAGAGAACACGGGATGTAAACCACCAGTCGTTTATCTGGAAATTAAAATTCGCGGGTTATGTACAGAAGGAAGAGCTAGTTTACAAAAAGGTTTTATGAGTCATCCTGTAGGTTCAGCGCGTGCAGAGCTAGCTCTTCTTTTTCTAAAGCATTTATCCTTGGTTGCCGTGAAATAGGAAGAAAAACAAAATTTATTAACAACTCCACACCTTCGTAACACGTGTAATCAGCAGTCACTGGAAGACGGGAAGACCTAAAGCCACAACACACACAATGTTAACTGAACACTCTACACCACAGAGAGAACGAGGAATGGAGGCCAATAGACGTTTATTTAAAAATTAAAATCTGCGGGTTCTGTACAGAAAGAGAGCTAGTTTACAAAACGGTCTTATGAGTCATCCTGTAAGTTCAGTGCGTGTAGGGCTTGCTCTTCTTCTTCTAAAGCGTTTATTCTTGCTTGCCCTGCAATAGAAGGAAAACAAAATCTATTAACAACATCATACATGGTGATTTTAATCCCGTTACATCGCCCTCTCTCCTAATGAGGCACTGTCCTCAGTGCCTGATCTTGGGCATGGGTATGCTGTCCCTCCTTCAGATGGTACTTCGTAAAATCTAGTGGCCGGCGGTGGATCAGCGAGTTGAGCATCGAAGGGAAATGTCGTCCGATCGGGTTTTATCTGGTTGTAGTGCACCGTTATCACATCGTCTTTAGGTCGTTGTATGTTACGCAATACAAACGTGGTGGGCGATCGGATGAGGACAATTTCAAAGGGGCCTTGCCAGGGTTGATGAAATTTACTGCAACCCCCTAGCGACGTCATTGGGCGGCGTAACCAGACGCGATCTCCAACCGTATACCTGGGTCCTTGTGTTTGACGATCATATATATCTTTTTGGTGTCCACTAGCCTTGCCTAAGTTAATGTTGACCAGACGGTAGGCATCAGCTAGTCGGTTGCGAAGAGTACGTATGTACGGAACATGCTCTTGTTCTTCGTAGGGCAGCAGGGGTGACTGTATCTCTACTGGTAGGCGTAGTTCGTGCCCGAACAGCAAAATAGCAGGCGAGAATCCCGTGGACCCATGTACCGACGTACGATATGCTAAAAGGCATTGGGGGAGCACCTCATCCCATAACTCAGGTGACGATCTGCTGACAAACGACTGCAAGATGGCTTTAATAGTTCTGTTTGTTCTTTCTACGAGGCCGTTACCTTCTGCGTGATAGGCAGTGGTGTGTGTCTTCTTGATTCCTAATAGCCGGCATATCTCAGTAATGAGGTGGCTTTCAAAGGATGGACCTTGGTCGGAGTGGAGTGAAACAGTGGCACCATAACGGGAGACCCAGTGATCGATGAAAGCTCGGGCAACAGTAAGGGCGTCTTGCTGTGGAAGGGGTACAGCTTCGCACCATTTAGTGAAATAATCCACCATAACCAGTATGTAGCGGTTCCCGTTTTTTGTCGTAGTTAGTGGTCCCATGATGTCTATACCAACTCGCTGGTGTGGTCCTGTCGTCACAATCGGCGTCACTGGTGCACGGGGTGTCTGCTGAGGCGATTTAAAACGGCAGCACGTGTTACAATTCTTGCAAAACTGAGCTACATCTTCGTGTATGGAAGGCCACCAAAAGCGTTGACGGACAGCGTGTTCAGTTCTCCGTTCTCCCGCATGACCAAGTTCGCGGTGTACCTGTTCCACAATACTCTCAACTTTCACTCGCGGTACTATCAGTAGGGGTTGTTTTGATTCGTTCATTAGGAATAATGTGTCACCATATAGCTTGAAGTTACCCCATTTGGTGCAGATACGACGAGTTGTTACGGATTGATCTTTAAGCTCCCTCATGGATGGCTTACTATTTCCATGTAGCTGTCTTTGATAAACAATCTGTAAGTCTGGATCTGCTGCTTGTAGGGAGGGCCAGTCTGTCTCTGGAGCTGTACTAAGAATTGCGTTAATAATATCTGTGGTCTGGGGTATTCGGGAGAGGGCATCCGCGTTTGCATGTCGATTTCCCGGTCGATACTCGCATGTGAAATCGAACTCTTGTAGTCTCTCCTGCCAGCGTGCCACTTGCCCTTCTGGTTCGCGGAAAGAGCGGAGCCACTGCAGTGCACGGTGATCCGTGCGCACACGGAAGGGTTTGCCCAGCAGATAATGGCGAAAATGTTGTAAGAATTTTACTAGTGCTAACATCTCCCGACGTGTTGTAGAATATCGTGCTTCACTCTTATCTAGTCGTCGACTAGCATACGCAATGACCCTTTCGTGTCCATCTCGAGCTACTTGTGATAAAACTGCTCCAATAGCCGAGGAACTAGCATCCGTATCAAGTATAAATTCGCCTCCGTCTGCTGAAGTATCTGGGAAGGCTAATATAGGTGGAGAAGTTAACCGAGCCTTCAAGGCATCAAACGCCTGTTGACACTCGCTGGTCCATAAAAATTTTCGTCCTTTGTGGGTTAATCGGTGTAAAGGTGCTGCTAATGATGCGAAATCACGTACGAAGCATCTATAGTAGGAAGCTAGTCCAAGGGAGCTA